CAGGATGTGCTTTGAATTCTGGCACACCTCATTTAAGCAAATGAGCCCCCTCCCAGCCACCCCTCCTATTGTACTAGCACAAGATCTGACATAGAGCCGGAGAGGGAAGCACAGCGGGGAACTGGTCCGGCCAAAAAAATAGCCCCACAGGGAATAAAGAAAAGCCCGTTGTTTGATTCAGTTCATTGTGAAGCTACACAGAGCTGTGCTTTTTGACAATGGAGAGGGTGGCACACTCAGGATATGAGAGCTGAAACCAGGTGGGGAGGAGGAATGGGCTGCCAGGGCTCAAGGCGGCACTGCCTTCAGTCGCTAACCTACTCCTCAACAATGGCTGAGATACTCTTGATGGTTTAGCACTAGTGTGTTCTAATACGATAGTACAGCCAAAGTATTCACTTTTATAACAACGCAATTTTAATATATTCTCCAGGGCAGTACATTTTCTGTCTTCAGCTTTGAATAAAAAATATGCTAAATTGTATTTTCTCCATTAACTGAAAATATTAAATAAAGAAGTCCCCTAATAAAAGCAGAAATTCTTAGAATTCTGTGATATTCTAACCTATTCAATTCAAGATTTCTCCACAGACCTGTTGGCTACAAATACCGTTATACACAAACATAAATACTCTTCGAATAAACAAGTTGCCAATAAGCATTTACAAGTACATATATGTTTTTTAACACTTGAAACTACTCCTCTGAAACTGAAAAAGAGGCTCAACAGCTTTTGTGATATTTTAAAGCTCATTCCAGGTCTTCATTAATTCCCTGTTTTTAACTTTCAATAAATCCTGAAAGCTAAGCGCTAGGCTGGCTACTTATAAATTATTTTCAGGGTCGCAGCCCACACCCCTGCCCAAATGAGGAAAACAACAGAACAGAGAGAGGTCCTCCAAAAGTAAAACCAGCAAATCGCTGAAAAATGTAAGTCAGAGCATCTAGCGAGTCTTTTTCTTTCTGGCTACACCTTGTGCCTCATTAGTGATCAGCCCAGCCTCAACCTATGACATACGCTTACACCTCCACTCTCAAAGATCTTTAAGTGCTTTCACACTCTAACAGTCCACATACTGCAATAAGGAGATGCAAAGGAACTGTTATGAGGGCTAAGAAGTACAAATTTGTTAGAGGAAACAGAACCTTAAATGAAGTATTTTTTGTTCCCCTTCACTATCTTTCAAGTAACAGCACGACTTCTAGGATAACACAACTGCAACTGTTTGGTTTTTTTTTTCGGGTCTGCTTTAATGCTGTCTCCACAGTAATTTTTATTATGGTAGGAGTGCTGAAACACCATCATTTCACTCTCCTGTGGATGTTGTCCCATTCTGCGGAGAACATCACCATGCTCAGGAGTGACCAGCCACAGGCTGCCTCAGCACCCACTCCCTTCACAGCAGCCAAATTCCTCCTGTCACTCCAGGCCTTTTCTTCAACAGTCCCATGCTGTTCCCCTGCATGCTTTTTACACGTCACCATAAACACTCTCCCCATCTGCTTGCAAGCCAGGCTGTCTTGTTTATGCCTTAGTACCTTTGATTTGTTCTCCTAAACTCCCCTTGATCACTTTTCAGGCTACTTCAGTCATTCTGGTTTTCTCTGCCTACAAGTAGACTCACTCTTAAGCTCCCCTGCAGTGCCATTTGTGCTCTTTTTGAGCCTTCATCTGGACATTCATACACGGGAACTCCAAGGCACTGGGTTTTGTTTCACAAGAACAGGAAAAAACATTAATTCAAGTCCAGCTGCAAAGGTTTAACAAACTTTCCTTTGAAAGACTACTACAACACAGCTTATAATTGAAAACCAAAGGTATTCCAGGGTGTTTGTAAAGCTAGATAGTACACATAAATACCATCGTCATTCCCAGTTCCTCCATTTAACTTCTGTAGTTGGCAGGTCTACTTACACTAGGAAGTTAACTGTTTCTGTGAAACGTTTGGATCACGTTCAGACCAATACATCGTAAATGGGCTCCTGACCCTGAGCAGGAGTCTCCATAAATGACCTTTAGCCCTTCACTGTGTTCAGGAATGATCTCTTAGTTTGCAGAGGTCACCTCCTCCCTTTCAACAAGGTCTTTATCTAGGCTTTGCTGTGCCACTGCAGTCCTTCCAGCACAGGGGCTGGCTGTGCTTGGTACACAATCCGGTGCTCCGAGTTCGTGCCGTCGTGAGCTAACCACCCGGGCCGGCAGCTCTCCCAGCCAAGATGACTCATTCTCACCCTGGTCTCACAGGCATCTACAGGAGATTTTATCCACTCCTCCAGCCGCCCCCTCCATGCCACCTTTGGGATTTGCTTCCCACTGCACAGCTCTAATCTTGCCCCCCCCCAGCCTTCGCCACTCCCTCCCACTGAGGATCTCCTCTCCCACTCAGCCTTCCCACTCCCCCAGTGCCACAAGACTCTTCTGCCAACTCCCCCAGCTCCCTCCCATTCTCCCTCACTTCCTTTGGCTGCTTTTCCCAGTCCAGCCATAACCAACACCGTAAGGGATAACAGGCATGTCAGAGAATTGCTGTGTGCAGCATATTAACCCCTCAACTCTTCCACTACAGCACTTGACTGTTTCATCTCCAAGACGATCATTACAGTTAAATATTTTGCCTTTTGAAGAGTCTTACCACCTTAGGTGCTAAAAAGTGTTAAAATACCCATCCCACTTATTCTTTGAACTCTTACACACTGAGCTTCAGTCTGGGTTGGGAGGGGGAATGTGGAATGAATCCTAAGGGGGAAGCTCTGAATTAACTGAAATGCTGGAGTGCATTCATGTCCGTGGGCCTTTTGGCCCCAGTGTTATTCAGGACTTGGTTGGCTTCAGCATTATTCAAGAAAAGATCGGACTGAGCAGTTACAGCAAAACATTAAAGGCCTGAACTGCACCCGACGCAGTCAGTGCCCAGGGAGCCAGCTGCTGGCTCAGGACTGAAGTCTGGTGGTGGGGTCCCTTCTCCATCACTGCAGAAATGCACGCCTCTACCACCCAAGAGAAATTCTAATGCACATTTAAAACTGAATAAATGCAAGGCAACTCATACTAATTTACATAGTTATAGTGGAGATTCTCAACTGTATTAGTTTCTCTAAATAGTCTAACGTCAAAGCTCAATACCCCTCGTAATCCCCAAGAAACAACACGGAATCAAAACTCAACTCTGACAGCGACAAGGGCGCGAAAGCCCTGGACTAGACCCACAGCTCCTGGCTCCTATTCTCAACGCCACCACTGGCACACGAGGTGATAGAATAGAGTATTTCAGTTGAAAGGGACCCACAATGATCATCTAGTCCAACTGCCTTAATTGCAGATCTAAATTGCTTTCCTCCCTCCACAGCTCAGTGGGAAATAGCATTACTGCCCTCTTTGATAAAGTGAGATCTGCTGGGAGAAAGTACTGCTAGGCTTTCTTTTTTAATAGTTTTCTCCACCATTACTTATTGGATCCTTTCCTCCCCCCATTAAAAATCATGCACTTAACAAATGTTTAGACAGCTGGTGGCTTGGAGTCAAAGCCAGTCGTTCTCCCAAAGGCCAAACTGCCTCACTGAACTGATGTCAGCTGGTACTTACTAGAATTTTTAAATTCAATTCAATTAAGAGACAAGCTACGCAGATTAGGGCTATGCTAGAATCAGAAAGGAATCTTAAAAGGCATAAAATGTCTTTACATTTATTAAGCAAACTCTGCAGTCTTTTCTTGTTGTATTCTTGTTGAAAAACAGAACATTCAGAAAGTATCATGAAAATAAGAAACAAAAAAACTAAGGTTCACATGAGCCACACTCCCCCTTCCCCTCCCCGCCCAAGCAACAGGACTATCTTCACACCCATCCCACTTTTAACCTTCCAACGCGAGCAGCAAGGCACCATTTACAGCTAGGCTGACAAATGAGGGCTTCAACGCCCATCGCCATTCTGCATTCCTAGCAATCCACCACAGCCACTCTTCCCTTGTACATGAGGATAAGCAGGTTATATACACCCACGTAGGTACAGAGAGTAAAAGAAAGGCCAATGTCAGTGGTACAGTTCCGCTAGGACTTCAAGTCTGGAAAATGACCACTCTGCTGGGAACTCCTCGGTTATCCTGACAGACATTAACTCCCTTTCCTTTTGCGCACACCAGTCCAAGTCTGCAAGGTTTAACTGAGCCTACGTGCTCTCACCCCTGGGATGCACGTTCCAACAAAGCCAAGAAGCAGAGGACCAGGATAGCCAGCTCTGCCCTTACAGCAGAGTCAGAGAGCAAAGGATTATTTCTTGGATTGGGTTTTTTTTTCATTTTGAAAATTAATTTGGGGATCATGAACAATTATGCTCTTGCACGTTAATCGCTGTGATCTAAAATTTTCACATGAAGAAACAACACATGGAAATATTAAAGCACTCATCTTACGGACATGGATCCGAGAACTGTTTAATAGCAGTCAGTGAAGGGGTAACATTGTGCTTTTAATCTACAGTTTAAAAATAATGATTTGTATATCTACTTAGTAAAACAATAAAATTAAGAACAGAAACTGATATTAGGAAACAGTGAAAATGTAATAATTAAACACATGATGCTTTTCAAAGCTATATACTTAATGAGCCTAAATAGACACCTATGGTTAGGAGGGTCTTAAAAAAAATAATAAAAAAAGAGACTTTTTTTTTTCTCCTCAATTTTTGTCTACTATACTGTATGCCTTGCTTTGGTGTTCTCTCTGCTGCCAACTTAATGCTTTAACAGTATGTTTACGCTTATGTTCTTTTCAAATGCTTGGCATTATAGTGAGATCTCATATCTTTCCTCAAATTAAACTTTGCTCCACATACTCCACATGTATAGAGATGAACATCCATGTGCTGCTCCAGTTGCTCATTATTTGGGAATATCTGAAAGCAGACCTGGCATATAGTCTCTCCAGCTGATAAGTGAGATATCATATGCCGTACATGGTCATGTTTTCGGAAGTTTCCTTGATCACAAATGGAACAGACATACCTGGCCATGCCTTTGTGCATATCATTGTGGAGCCGCAACTGGCGCTCTCTTAAGAACTGCTTCCCACATGTCTGACAAACAAACTGTTTTTCCTTGGTATGAACGGTATAGTGTTCCCGCAAGTGGCAACGCTGATAAAATCCTTTCCCACAAAGATTGCAGAAATGCTTACGTCTGTGATCCCTCTCGTTCTCTTCCATCATGGAGTTCTTGAACAGATCTTGCTCCAGGCAGTTTGACATATGTTCAACCACTAGGTTTTCTGTTTCAAAACGCTGACCGCAATTAGGGCATCGGAAAGGACAGGCAGAATGCTTGTATAACTGTTTTTTTTGAAGGCTGTTCATTTGGAAGTGACTGTCCCTGAAGTCCTCTAGCATCTCTGCAAACATCATGTCCCTTATTTCCGACTGCTCCTCCGGGTTTTCTTCTAAGTCCATTTTCTCCTCAGAATTTCTGATACCATTCATGGTCAGATCCTGGGGTTCTCCACAGGTCTGCGCGTGATCCTGTAACTGTTTGCCTTTGACCAGTATTTGACCACACTTGCCACAAGCACATATATTTTCTATGTGTTTGGATAAATAATGAGAGGACAAGTCTTCCTCGGTGATTGTTAGCCCACAAAGTTCACAGGGAGCATTCTCCACGTCTTCCTGCACTGAAGGAGCCTTCCTGTTAAGGTGCCGTGGACTTTTCAAACACTTTCTTTCATCCTCATCCATAGATAAACGGGGTTTTAAAGTCTTCCGAGCACTTCTCTTCTCTCTGATCTCTTCCTCGACATAGTATCTGTACAGCGGCTCTTCCTGTTCATCATCTAGGTCATCATTGTCGGAAGACTCATTGCAGTCTTTATCTGTCACCTTAATAATATTAAAATCCTTCAGCTCGTCTGCAGGATTGTCCTCTGGTTCCATCTTGATGATAATCCTCTTCCTCTCAGAGGCTCTACTTCCTTCTTCACCGGACGTCTCGGAGGCAACCGTGCTGCTTTTTCTGCTCGTGACGTTTGACACAGGAGACGAAGAATCATCCACAGCTTGGTTCGAGTCCCCCTTGTATTTTTCTGTTTGTGCGGAGATTATTTTAGAAGTAGAGTCCTTTTCATTAAAGTCTATTTTTTCAGCACCGTAGTACCTGGCACTTTGGTAGGAATGCCTGTTAGTGCACGTTAACACGTGCTCATCCAGTAGCTTTTCACAGCTAAAACTAAACCCGCAGCTATCGCAGGTGAAGCTTCTTCCAAAACGGCGCGAGTGGGACACACGCTCTTTTGTGTGAGAGAATTTGGACGTGGTGCTTTTTTTGCAGACATCAAACAGTTGTTCGGGGAAGCTGCTTAGCTGCAAAGCTTCCTCATCAGGCTCTTTGTTATGGGATGTATTTACTGTCGAACTTGGCGGCTCCATGCCCCACCTGTTTGCTTCGCTGCCATTTCTAGCAAGTGTGTCTTCATACATTCTCACGCCAAATATCATTTTACTATTCTGGGTGCTAGAAGCAGAAGATGAACATTTTAAACTAGATGAGTCCGTATCCTGTATATCTTCTAGGCATTCAGGTACGTTGTACAGCTGTAAATAGTTCATGGCCACTTTAAATTGCTCGAAATTGGCAGGGGCTGTCATAATTTTTCCTAAATACATGAACTGTAAAATCAGATCAAAGCACTCGGCGCTAATCTTCATGTTGCTCAGATTCAGCTGGGCTGTAGTGTGTTGATGGTTCATAAAAAACATCCTAAAATAGGAGCTGCAAGCAGCAAGGACTGCTTTATGTGCTTGAAAATAAATATCATCGATAGCGATACAGCAGTCGCACAGAAAGCCCCACTCTCTTTGGTTGTTTAGCTGCTGAAGGACATAGTTGCTGTGGCTGGTTCTTGCCATCTTGTATTTCAATTATAGCCCTGCATAAAGAAGAAGACATCTGTTAAATCACGAGCACAAAAAGCAAAACCTACTTAAAGGTACAGAGGAACTGCGATCTTTTTCCTCTCTAGATCTTCCTATTCTCACACTGTTGGTGGTACAGCTTCCTGTCTGGAGATCTTTGCTGTAACTACTGACGAATATTGATGCCAGTGAAAACATCCATAATTCCATGTTCTCACCACTAGACTTACAACACTAGTAAACTAATAAACATAACCACCACACATGTCAATCAGAGCAACGCTGCCGGAATATAAATTAGCAAATGTATCTCAAAGTCCTACAGCCAAGATTTTCAGATATGAATTCTGAATGCAGAACTTCAAAAAGTTCACAGCGTAGACTTCTGTAAGATGGCCCCAGGACACCACCTATACAAGGTAAGCTGAGTGTAAGAAACCACTCTTCAGTCTCAACTTGCCTTGTTCACCTGTCAGTCCAACGGACACATGACGCAACACATACTGGACACCAGGCCAGGCTCAGACTGGTCTCTCCCTCCCCATTAAAGGAAACTGAGAAGATGCATCAGTGGAGCATCCACACGAGCTACATTCACACACTTTTTGCTCTTCAGGGCAGCTCAGGGACAGTCTCAATCTTATCTGCAAGGCATCTTGCAAACCAGGAACTGCAAGCTCAGAAGCACAGGGCAGCCGGGCTGTGACGGCGCGTCCCACGTACGAGCCCGCTGCAGCTGGTGACCAGGCTAGCTGCGTGACAGCCACGCGGACTGCAGACAGGCAGGAAGTGGTGCACGCCATGCCTCCAACTGCTCGCAAAACCACTCCTTCAGAGGCCTGTAATATAACCAAAACATGTAGACGGGAGACCAGACAAAGAAAAACTCAGCAGCGGAGAGCTGCGAAAGCTAGCAAGCCAGAGGTGGAGCCACAGTGAAACGAAGCCTTGACAAAGACTAGAGGGAAAGGTCTGAGAGTGCTGAGGGTTGCTATAAATTAAAGGACTAATTTGTCCTCAAGAGGAAAGAGGAAGAAAACATACTAGTTTAGGTTAACAAAAACATCCAGAAGAAATGTACTGTACACAGATTGATTTACCAAAGATAAACTTAACCAAGTATGGCCAGATCCAACAGCTACTCACTACTCACTTTGGAAAACCTTTACTGAGATACATAATCTGTACTAACTGCACAGGGAAGGGGGTGAGAAACCAACAGAAGGTATAAAGAACGCCCTAACTGAAATGAAAAACCTAAAGCAATAATGAGCCTTCTTAACATTTTGAAAGGTTATTGCAAACAATGCAAATAACTGTTAGAGATTTGTACAAATAAAGTACGAGCTAGCAAATAACATACGTTAAATGGCGGTTTATGACTCAATTAAATGCATGGATTGAGTTGCAACCATTCTTTCAACCACCCAAAATTTAAATAAAATACACAAAAAACGCTCCCTATTTCTTCTTATTCCCCTGACAGCTTACATCTCCTAGAGACTAGGAAATGGGTGGAGAAATTAAATTCCACAATTAGTGCTGAATTCACAAGTCGTAGGCATTGCCTGGCTTGTTAAGTAGCAAACCTAATGTTCAAGTCACTGTTCTTCATTCCATGAAGCACTGCCATGGAAGAAACGCATTCAAGCTCTCAAGACACAGGCTCACCCCGCCCAGCAATATTCCCTACTGCCAATTCATATAGCTGTGCTTATGGATCACCACCAGCACAAGACCTTGTCTGGCAACGGGAACCTTGAGATGCGGGTTGAACTACACTGATGATGAGCATCTGGATGGCAGCTGCTCCTCTCCTCTCAACCCAGTCCTCCAAACCCAAAACTCAAGGTGAGCACTCTGCCATAGTAATTCTCTGACCAGTTTCGCCCAGCGATGTCCGCTGCAGAAATACAACTCACTGCACGAAATTCATTTAACGGCTTTCTTACTAACTCTCAAAAGGGTAGCTTTGAAAGTAGGAGAATCTCTGAAACAACTTCATGTCTTTTCTACAGAAGATGGATTATTGTCTAAGTCACTGGGTGTGTTCAGATGTTTCTGGGAAAAACAGCAAAGCTCTCAACATCAAGTAATAACAAAAAAGCACTTCATATTCTTCCAAGTGCTAACGTGTTTCGGATTTGAGGTAATTCATTAAATACTTAAATATAATTCAGTATATGGTATCAAGAACAACATCTGCATGATGACAAAGCAATGTCTTCAACTTCCACATTATAAGACTGAAAACCAACACAAAAGTGAGAAGATGAAGTCTAAGGCACTACTGGCCTCTTGCTGTGAACTGCCATCAAGACAAGGAAAGGCTGAGGACAGCTGGTTTTAATCTCATCCTCATGAAGTGGCAAGTTTTAATTTTTTTCATTTAGAATTTCTTTTGTACACTAAAAGTACTCCATCGTATCTCCCAACAGCAGAAGAGCAGTACAAGCAGCAAGCCTGTACCAAAAAGGTGGTCACGAACTATCTGCAAACACCCACAGACCAGGGCATTTCCACACAGCGGGAACGATCTGGCAGGCACTGGCGTGACAGCACACCGTTTCTAAGTTTCCTTCTGAAAAAGGCGAAGTACATTTCCTCTGTTGACAGGTGAGCTCTTGCAGAGCTTTCAGCACTCTCCTGACACACAACAACGACCCACTGGCAATGCCTACCTCCTGTCACTTGCTCTGAGAAAAAAACAGACGAAGCATGAGGTCACTTGACCAGGATGCCAAGGCGCTCAGATATGTACCTGGCCTCTATCATGGTGGCACTACACACAGGCATTAAACCAGAGCCTGTCTGAAGTTATTTATGTTAATGAAAGCACTGCCATCCTCCCCCTGGATGCTGTATTAACCTGCTGCGTGTAACTATATATTTACAGCTGCCAACACTTCCCACTGCGAAAGCCTGTGTTGGGCTATTTAAAACTTTGATACATTTCAACCAGCAAAGGCAAAACTTTCTTTCTGCATCGCCTGCCTTGGACTGATTTTTTTTTCCCCCCTCCACAGAGAATTTCAGCCAAAACAGTTCCAAAAATGAGACTAAGGAAAAGCTTTCATATATGTAAATTCTTACTTTTTCTTTTAAAAACAAAAAAAAAGGTTATCTTCCAAAATCTTTGAAGAGAGACTTCATATGGGAGAAAGTGCTATGTCTTGGATATGTTGTCACGATATAAATAACTGCCTGAATTTGGCAGATAGAGGAAGATAAAAATTATCAGTTTGTTCACACTTAAGACTTTTGTCAGTTACTAAAATCTCAGGTTACAGCCTCGCTGAGAACATTTCACCCTCCTGCAGCTCCTTTGTAGATAGGGCCCTGCCTGCGCCATCCCACCCGGGGTGAAAACCCCCTTTCAGAGCTCTGCCATGGTTTTAAACTACAAGAGGGTAGATTCAGGCTAGATATACAACAGAATTTTTTTATGATGAGGGCGGTGAAACACTGGAACATGTTGCCCAGAGAGGTGGTAGATGCCCCATCCCTGGAAACATTCAAGGTCAGGTTGGACGGGGCTCTGAGTAACCTGATCTCGTTGAAGGTGTCCCTGCTGATGGCAGGGGGGCTGGACTAGGTGACCTTTAAAGGTCCCTTCCAACCCAACCCGTTCTATGATTCTACATGCCACCTCCGCAAAGTCACAAACGGGCAGCAGGGTCTGCTGGAGATCGCTCCACACCACAACTCGCCGCTGGGTTTTAGCATCTCTCCTGGCAGCTGGATGGAAAAGATGCCCAGTTCTGGCTGATGAGAGCCAGACCCAGGAGCGGACTCAGTGAAAAAACACAGGGAGATTGGGAACTGTAAGGGAGGGAAAACCTCTGGAAATCAGGAGGGCAGGGAGAGGCAGGCTGGGAGTGGAGGGCTGAGCCGAGAGGAGGGGACTGGGATTAGGAAGCAGCAGTGGGAATTAAAAATGGATGCAATGAGGGTCTAAATGGTGGAGGGGAAGGTACTTGAGCAAGGGGCTGGGCAGAGCCAAATTGCAGGGGCTAGGGCAGAAGCGGTAAAAAAGACAGACATGCTTTTGCTGAGGAATACGTCAGAGCTGGAAGTGAACCCCGAATTCCCAATTCTGACACGCCTTTGCCATCCGCAATTATCAAGGGCTTGCTGACAAACTCCCTCCCACCAAGAGCGAGCTCTCAGAAAATGATCATTTACCATTATTTTGTTACTTTAGTTGCTAAAATGGCAGAGATCTGCATTTATTACCCATGTGGGTGGTTCAATGCTACAAACTATTTTTGCAGTTTGCTTTGGAAAAAAAGCAGGCATTACAATAAAAACAGGTCCTTTTTACAGAAAACCCAACGTTTCAAAGTTAAGCATACTCACGAGCAGTGCCATAATTAATGCAAGATTAATTCAGCTGCCATTTATGTATTTATTGTAGTAGTCTTCCAGCCCTCCCCTTACCAAAAGCTCCCTTCCTTACCCAGTGCATCCTCTGGATCTGTCCAGGGACGGATCTGAGCAGCAACAACACAAGATCCCTCCTCATTTGGCACAGTGTTTGGAGGATGTGAAGTGAACGAGGCCAGGGGACAAAAAGGAGAATCTCACAGCAACGAACACTGCCTTGGAGACAGCATCCCATCACCGTCAGTGCCAGGACAGGTCATTTCAACCTTTTTTTTTTCTGTGAGTCTGGCTTGCATTTTTTGGATGTCCAATTTCTTCACACAGGGAAACACCACTGTCGGCAGCAACTGAGGCCAACGGGAGCTATCCTCTGTATGTCCTAATCACCAAGCATCTTGGAAAATTAAAGCTCTATGCAGGCAAGTTTGTCTATCCAAAATTCTTAAGTATTTCTGATCCTCCCTGTCTCTTTTCTATTTCAAAAACAGGAGAAATGCCAGCCACTTGCCCGACAGACTAGCACACTGCCTTTGTGCAACACCCAAATACTGTCATTACAAACATCACAGGAAAGCCAATGAGGAACGCAAGTAACTTCATCTTCAGCAAAGACCGACTTGTGCAGTAAACACA